GCGTTTGCTCTCAAATCTAAGCTGAGAACAGTATCTAATATATTCATCATAAGTTTGGCCATTTCAGACTTGGCAGTTACAGGATTTGTGTTGCCGTTTAACGTTGTAGGCATTCTGAAGACGCATCATTTCTTCAGACTTAATTCAGTTCTTTGTGAAGTGATTTCCTTTGCATGTGTTACATCATGTATTGCTTCGCTGTGGAACATCATGGCTATCAGCGTAAACCGTTATATATACATATGTAAGAGCAAGTACTATAAACAGATTTTTAGTTTTCGCAACACTATAGTAATTTGTATTGTGATATGGATTATATCAGCGCTGATCGATTTGCCGAACTTCTTGAACTGGGGTGATCATCGATATGACATGAAGACATTGGTTTGTTCATTCGACCGTACTGCTAACTACAACTGGATAACACTATTTGTTTGTACAGGCGTTGTTTTTCCCGGTCTTGTAGTTATCATTTGTTACATTAACATTGTTCGATTTGTACGTTCTCATTCACGCAAAATACAGGATCACCGAGAACAAGAACCCGGATGTTATAAGGATGGTCCATCACGTAACATGGGACATGCAAAGCTAAGTAAGCAACAGAAACAACTATTGAAGATGGTATTTGCCATCTTTGCTGTGTTTATACTGTGTTGGGTGCCCTATGGTATTGTCGTTCTTATTGATTTTCAAGACAGACTTTCACAAACAGTACATATCATAGTGTGGGTTATTGCTCATGCTAGTACAGCATTGGATCCCATCATATATGCTGTTACGAATACACACTTTCAACAAAGTTACAGGGCAGTTTGGGGGTGTTTAACGAGAAGACGAATACAGATGATGGACACGACAGTATCAGATAACCACGATTCTGTGAAGGATAAACAGATCTTTAAAGTGAAAGTTGCAGCAGAGCCGATTGAAGCCATCTCAACGTTGAATACTTGAATATTCAATAGCAATATAGTAACATTATAGTAAAGACACTTCTGATATTTCTTTCTAGTCAGCACAATAGTGAATAGTGAAATACTATACGCAACCCATGATACCCCATGTAATGCCATATGCTAAATACCGAAGTACACGATTGACCTTATATATTTAATCAGTAACAAACCAAAATATTATAATTTTATTACCTTTACCGTTATTTTCAATGACATTATTTTAAACCAATAATCTGAACAAGGGGTTTGATGTCGCTTGACGGTGTTTTGGTTTTGTACACAGAACTACGAATCATTATTGAGTACAATCTTATTTTCAGATATTAATATGTAGCATAATACCAGCATGAATAGTTACTGTATGAATTATAGCTATATATTGAAGTAGGAATTATTTGATAGCTCAATTTGTCACGTTTTTCTTTTCCAGCTAGTCCTTTATAATCAATATGTCGTAGCTCTACTCGTTTGTACATCAGTTCAATGACTGAAACAAATTTGTAATACATTTGATGGGGTTTTAACCGGATTAAATTAACTCTGATAACGTAACAAATAAC